GACAGCTCAGAGCAGGGTCCGGGTTATTTTTAGAGGTGATTCCCTCCTCCTAGCACCTTCCACTTTCCCCTTGCCAGAACTGGGTCAGGTGTTCCTGTCCCTGTCCCTGTCCAGTGTCACCACGTCCCAGTGCTGTGGGGTTTCGTTTGGGGCAGACAAGGGGACCCCAAAGGAAACAGGCAACTGGGTGGCATCGGGACTGAGCCTACCACCTCTTGTCACTGTGTCCCCAACCCACGGGGACAAGGACAGCTTTGGGAAAGCACTCCAGSCTTCAGGGAATCCGACATCAGAGCCCCGATGGGAAACAACTCCGTGTCCATCCCGCAGGGGTTTGGATGTGTCTGGGTTGTGTTTAGCAGGGCAGGGAGCTGGAGAGACCCCAGGACAGGGGATGGCGGTGCTTTGGTGGCTTCCCCGGTCCCAGCCGTACCCAGGGAGCTGCTGGTGGCCCCACTGTGGGCTCATGGACCCTCACCCCATGCAGCTCRGGGTACCCCTGCCAGCCCTACAGCCTCAGGGGCACAAAGGGTCAGTGCAGCCCATCGGTGACCCCAGGATCACACAGGGGCTGCCACGCAGCCCTGTACCCCCCAGATGCTGTGCGGATGGGAGCACAGCGTGCCCTGTGCAGGAAGGAAATGTGTCTTCCTGCGTAGGGGAAAGATCGCTGCCAGGTCTGGCCACTGCCAATTTGGCAGGACACTCKAGAGGACCCAGGTGCCCCTTGAGGTTTTTTTTGTCAAGCTGACGTGATGTCTGGGCAGGCACCCAGCGCTGGCTGCAGATGTGGTGATGCTGGGGACCTTGGGGCACAGCAGGAACATCCCAGCCAYGCTGAGCTCAAGGTTAGGGCCAGGRCAGCACCTTGAATGGAATTTTCTCAAAAGGCATTTCCAGATCAGCTCCTCCCCTTTATATTTGATTAAATGTGTGAGGATCGTGCCCAGGAGCTCCCTGCAAGGTCAAGGATCCCTGGGAGAGGAGGGGATTTGAGCCTTGAGATCAGCCCACCATGGAGCAGCAGGGAGGTGTGCTGGGGTGGGAACTCACAGGAACAACAGCTGGGCAGCAGATCCCAAAAGGCTGRATTTGGGGGAGCTGGGAAAGCACTGGACCAGGCAAACCCTACACATCTGTAACACAAGAGGGGCTGAGTCGGGCCAGCAGGGCATGGGCAGCTCCAGGGCCTGCCAAAAAGGTGACAAAGGSTCAYGAGRGGCAGGAGGCCAARGGCAGGGGCAGGGATGGACAGAGGRATGCTGGACAGACAAATGGATGTCCCATCTCTCACAATTTGGGGTTCTGGGTGAGAGGATGGCCAYGGGTTTTGGGATTTGGGGTTTGGGGGGTGCTCATGTTTGGGTGCAGAACTTCTSCAGGTGCCAGAGCTGTCAGGAGAGCTTAGGGCACAACTTTCCTGACCAAACACAGGCGCCTGCTCGAGGAGAAAACAAAACACAGCTGGACTCTGCTTCCTCCAACTCCTCCAGCTCCACTTGGGGTCTGGGAAGGGGTGAAGGCATCCCCTGTTCAGAGGGGTGACACGAGAGTAGGTTGTTTTTGGGGCTGGCTGTGCTGGAATATCGGGGGTTTGGCTACCAGCGATGCTGTGGGCACCCAAGGGACGAGGTGGGAGCTGTCTGGGTAGCCAGGGGCACCTGGTGACATCCCCACCCCCGTGTGCCCCGGGCAGCCTCCACAACTCCCTTCCTTCCCTCCTGCCAGCTGAGGGAATGCAAAGATTAAAATAAAACAAACCAGGCATGTTGGATCCGGGCTGAAAATGCCACGAGTGGAAGTTAATGAGCTCCATAAATCACAGCGGGGTGGCACACGGACACCGGGCTGGAACACTGTCAGGAGATCAGAGTTCCCAAAAAAACAAAAAACACCTGCAATATACCCAATCCCAAAATCGGGGCTGCAGCTACAGCTGCCTGAAAACCCCACAGCAGTGCCAGCAGCTCCCTGCTGGAAGGGGAGTCAGGGCTGGCAGGATTTGGGGTGATGGTGAGACACCCAAAGCCGGGGAGTCAGAGCTAATGGGTGAACCCCAAATGTGGCATTTTGGGGTCACGGGATGCAGACAAAGGAGAAATGCATAGGAATAGAAGTTAGGAGATAGAGGAAGGAGAAAGGTGAATGTGGCACCTTTGTAGTTATCCCCTGGGCTTCTGCCAAGGCGAGAAACAGCAGGAATGGAAATAAAATGATAAATAGAAGTAAAAATATCTCAGAGCTCCTTCCGAAATCAGGGTCTGGCCGGTGTCAAAGCCAGCCTGGTAGCACCCAGACACCTTGACCACATGGCCTGGCACCCAATTCCAGCATTCCCACCCTATAAGAGACCCTGGAGCTGCCTCCAAAACACCCCCACGCCCTTTGGGAGCTCCACAGGCGAGCAGGGGATGTGGATTCTGCTGGAAGCTGCTGTGCCATGGCTTGGGGACAATCCCTCATGTGACCCCATGTCCTGTCACCTCACAGCTGTGACCCTGACCCCCAAACCAGGCTGGTCCTGAGCTCCACGTCCCCTCCCATCTCACAGGTCCAGGCATCACTGGTGGAGCAGAACTTCACGGAGCTGTGGGGGAAGAAAGCCAAGGAGCTCTACAGTGACAAATGGAAAAACTTCACTGACCCAGAGCTGAGGAAAATCATCGGCTCCATTCAGACCTTGGGACCCTCCAACCTGCCCCTGGAGAGGAGAGAGAAGGTACAGAGGTGGTGGGTGGGACTGGGATGCCCTGGGTGGGRYTGGGATGCCCTGGGTGGGACTGGGATGCTGTAAAACCCCTGAGAGTGATTTTTTGCCAGCACCCAGACTCTGCTGCTGACCTGGCACATTTTGGCCTCTGCACAGTGACTGAGGAGGAGATGGGATGCCTGCTGSCCCTATTAACCAGCCCTAACCTTAYCCTGGAGCTATMRCAACTGTAGATTTCTGGGAATTTCTGGGAAAATTGGAGATTTCCTGCTTACACCAAGCAGTCTTGGGCATCACCTGAGATCAGCATGGCTGGGCCCAGCTGT